CTGCAGAAAGGCCCTCAGCAGCCACAGCAGGAGAGCGGGCACCTCGGCGTCCCTCGCCAAGGCACTCACCGTGTCGCCAAGCTCCTTCCTCCAGAGGCAATTCAGGCACTTTTAGGAAGCGACAATGGCCGTAAATGTTAAAAGTATCGAGAAAGGAACAAGACGCAGAACCAGTTATATGACAATTACAGCGTCACCCCAAATGTTTCCAGGAAAAACAACGATATCATGGCTCCGGGACTCCAGGAGGCTGTTAGCAACCAGCGCTGCCTGCAGCGGCCTTGGGAACGGCGCCAGCGCCTTTTGGAAGGATCGCCAGCTGCCCAAGCGGGCCGTGTACCCGGGGGAGAGCTCTGGCTCTAAGTTCACTCCGCCCCGAGGGAAGTCGGGAACCCGAGTCAGAAACACCCTTCAGCCGCAGGAAGGGCAGCCAAAACTGTTTTCCTGCTCGGGGCAGGGGATCTCAAGGGTGCTTTCCCGACCAGCAGCCCCAGAGAACTTGTCAGAAATGTAAATTCCCAGGCCCCGCCCCAGATTTACTGAACCGAAACTCGGGCAGGGCCCAGGGATGGAATCGCGGCAAAGCCTCCCGGGCAATTGTGAGGCTCTCGGATTGGAGAACCACTGCCCGAAAGAAGGGGTTTTATTGCTTCTGTGACAAGGGTGCCCCAAAATATTGAACCAGAATTTTTCAATTAGTAGCTCTGTAGAAGTCTTCCTAAACCTGTACAGTTAACACAGGCAGTCTAGGGGTCCACAAAAAACAAGCTGATGTAGATAGAATTTTCAAAGATAATTATGTGAAATTAAAGAGGATATTTTTGCTTTTTAACTGACATACTTACAAGCTGTGATCTATAACAAATTATATTGTTCCTGCATGTCTCTTCCTCAGTTTGTAAAATTACATCCCCTGTTACCGTTACCATTTCAGAGCGATTCTGGCAATTGCAAACAAATTTGCATTCATTGTCAAAATCCTGGTTTTCTTTTTTTTTTATCACTTGGGTTTTTGTTTTTGGTGTGTGTGCGTGTGTGTGTTGTGAACCCTGCACTACGTGCCTCACAGACATAGAATTGGTTTCATTTATTTTAAAATAAAACTATTCACACTGACATAAGCAGTTAAGGAGTGAATTTAAGAAAAGATTGCAACAATAAATTCTAGTTGTTTACTTTTTTTGGATAGTGAGATTAACAGTGTTCAGAAAGGAGAGGTTGTCAGGGAAGGGGAAGATGCTAGCTGACACTTTTAATCATTACAAATCTGAGTCATCAGAACAAAAGGGGAAAAACATCATCAAATTTTACGCTTGTAATAATTCCCTTTGTAGTGAGAAGTAACCGAGAAGGCCGGGCACACACTAAATGTTTAGCTTTTACCATCTCAGATACAGACCTAAGAGTTCCCTTCTTTTTGCCCTAGAAGACTTGTTAAGGAATGAATGGTTCTCTTCGGAGAGGTTTAGCTCCTAACAACAGCAGCAGGCATCTCTGGGCTGCCCATGTCTGTGCCCATGCCTAAACCCTCTGTGACTTGTAAATTATATTTAATAGCATTTCCAAAAGCTACAGCTAAAGGAAGTTGTCGATTATAACAGAAACATGAGACTTTATCACATGAGAAAATGTCACATGTATATTGTGGGGGCCAAAGAATTCATTCTGAGATTTGACTACAGATTTTTAATAAACTTTTTGAGATTTTTCCAGAAATTTTGAAAATAAGGGCACAGTCATAGATGCTAACAGCCTACCTGATATTTATCGTTTTGCCTTTTGTCTTCCCTGAAGTTCAGGGGGTATGAAAAAGATGGACCCTAACAGGATTTTGCCATTTAGTGGTGTTTTTTATAAAGTGGGGGAGGGAAATTTTTCTCATTTTTTCTAGTGGGGCATTTTCAGTATTTTAAAAGAAGGGAAGCTGTCCGATTAACCCCTCACAGGAGGTGCATTGCTATCATTTGCCAAGTCTTTTGTGTAGTCAGACTGGTCTCATGTACAGGATTTTCCCAACTTATGCTGGATCTTTGAGAAGGCCTATAAATAAGACCATTTGTTTGGTCTCAAGATGACTTGCATTTGCAAACGGAAGAATGTTCCAATAGAAGTTTCATGGTGACGCACCACTCTGCAAACTGGCTCAGTCAGTAGTCAAAACAAGTCACCACGGCTCTGGGAAGCTGAAGTCTCTGAATGGGTCAGATGATCCTCCGTCTAATTTGGCACAGAGAAATTTGGACTATAAATATGCGGCCTCCCTTTGTATTTTCAACTTAAATGGTCCAAACCAAATAGGGAAAATGTGTGTGGACCTAATGGTGACTTAGAAACATGGTAATACTGTGATTAAACTGAAATTCACTTATTTGTGCTTGGGTCCTTTGTGTTAAATGAGCAATAATTTGCTAAGGTTGAAAAACATATGTGGTTTGTTCTTTCTTTAGCTTTACTGAGATATTGACAAATAATATATATAAGTGTAAGGTATCCAATGTTATGATTTGATACTCATATATATTGTGAAATGATTATCACGGTGAGGTTAGTTAACACCTACATCCCCTTACATAATTACCATTGTTTTGTGTGTGGTGAGAACATTTAATATCTACTCTCTTAACAACTTTGAAGTGTATGCACAGTAGTATTCACTAGCGTCTTCATGCTGTGCTTTAGCTCCCAGAACTTGGTCATGTTAAGCTAGAAGTTTCTACCCTTTGGTCAGCACCTCCTCATTCCTCCCCCCCCCAAGCCCTGGCAACTACCATTCTACTCTCGATTTCTGTGAGTTAGACTTTTTCAGATTCTGCATGTAAGTGAGAACATATGATATTTGTCTTTCTCTGTCTGACATCTCACTTAGCATAATGCCCTCAAGGTCCATTCATATTGTTGCAAAAGGCAGGATTTCCTTATTTTTTTATGGCTGAATATTTCATCATGTATATGTCTTACATTTCCTTTATCCTTTGTTTTATAAAAGTATTTCTATGTTTTAAATGTTTTATGTTTTATATATATATGTGTATATATATATGTATGAAATATATATATGAAAAGTATATGTGATTGTATATATATCCATTTATCATGGACATTTAGGTTGTTTTCATGTCTTGGCTATTGTAAATAATGCTACAGTGAACATGGGGGTGCAGGTATATTTTCAAGATAGTGATTTCCTTTTCTTCAGATGTATACCCAGAAGTGGGATTGTTGGATCATATGGTAGTTCTTAATTTTTCATAATGGCTGCACCAAATGACATTCCCATAAACAGTGCACAAGTGCTCCCTTTTCTCCATAGTTTCACCAACACTTGTTATACTTGACTTTTTGATAACAGCCATTCTAACAGGTGGGAGGTGATATCTCATTGTGACTTTGATTTTCATTTCCCTGATGATTAATGATGTTGAGCATCTTTTCATGTTCCTGTTACTCATTTGTATGTCTTCTTTGGAAAAACGTCTATTCAAGTTCCCTGCTCAATTTTTAATCAAATTGTTGGGGCGGGTTTTGGGGTTTTTTTGCTGTTGAGCTTTATCGGTTCTTTCTATATTCTGGATATTAACTCCTTATCAGGTAGATAGTTTACAAATATGTTTTCCATTCCATAGGCTGCCTTTTCACTTTGCTATACAGAAACTTTTCCGTTCGAGATCGTTCCACTCGTCTGTTTTTGCTTTTGTTGCTTATGCTTTTGTTGTCCTATCAAAAAAATTATATTGCCAAGACCAATGTCAGAAGGCTTTTATCCTATGTTTTCTTCTAGGATTTTTACAGCTTTATGTCTTACATTTAATCCATTATCATGTTCAGTTATGTGAGTGGTGTAAGATAAGAGTCCAAGTTCATTCTTTTGCATGTGACTGTTCGGTTTTCCCAACACCATTTATTGAAGAGACTGTCCTTTCCCCATTGAGTATTCTTGGCTCCTTTGTCAAATATTAGTCGACCATACTTGTGAGGGATTGTTTCTGGGTCCTCAGTTCTGTTCTCTTAGTCTGTGTGTCTGTTTTTGATGCCAGTCCCATACTGTTTTCATTATTATAGCTTTGCAATAAAGTTTGAAATCGGGAATTTTGATGCCTCCAACTTTGTTCTTTCTCAGGATTGCTTTGACCATTTAGGTATTTTGAGGTTCCATATAAATTTTAGGATTTTTTTAATTTCTGTAAAAAATGCCATTGAAATTTTGATAGAGATTACGCTGAATCTTTAAATGGCTTTGGGTAGTAAGGACATTTTAACAACATTAATTCTTCCAAACCATGAACATGGAATGTCTTTCCATCTCCATGTGTGTTATCTTCAATTGCTTTTATCAATGTCTTAGCATTTGTACAATGTCTTGTCATTTGTTCTTCAATTAATACATGAGGGCTCAAATTAATCTGAATGTCTATAATTATAAGCTAGAAATTGAGTCACTTAAGAACATTTAACACTGGTAAAGTCAGACACTTATAAAGCACCTGGTTTTCAAAGGCATTTGTGTGCATAATTCAGGGGTCCCAAGTCTAACTGCCTATGTGAGACAGGTAATGCAAATTAGAGATGTGGACAAGGTGAGCGCCGGCCCCAGCTAAGGAAGAAAGGAGCTGCTAGTTGCATTCACCAATTAATGCTGGTTTGTTGCAAAATTTCAAGAGAATTATATTATAAAACTTTACTAATTTTAAAAATGTTGGCAAGTAACCAATTTTAAGAAACCATGAGAAAATCAGATCTAAAAGCTGAACTTCCAAGCCACTAGTTTGCACATTTTACCATTTCACAATAAATGAGGGACAATTTTGCAAATGCCTCCAAATGATAACCCCAAAATACCCCATTCCATTTAATGACCAGCTCTGCCAAGCAGGCCGCCTCCTAAGGTTACATCTACCATTGCTGTTGTTCTTCTAAAACGGACAATTTCCTCCTGCTAGAGGTCTGATTTGCTGGTGTCAGCATGTGAGGTTCCCGTCACTTCATGACATGTCTCCCTTCAGGCCCGATGGAATCGGAACTGTGACTGTTGAAGAAAAGGAACGTTTCGAAGAAATCAAAGAAAGACTCCGAGTTCTGTTGGAAAATCAGATTACGCATTTTAGGTAAGGATCTGGGATGGGATGGGATAGAGGAGGCTTATTAGGAGGGTGAGACCAGGGAGGGCTTGATTTCCTGAAACTGTAAGTCAACTAGGTACACACTGGATATTTAGAAAAACCAAATGGAAAAGCAAACCAGTAAGACTGGTTCCATCCACAGTAGCTTAGAGACTTTGAAATCTTAGGGTCATTTTACTTCCACCAAAGGGACAATGCCCTCCTTGTGCAAGTTGACCCTGGTCATCAATCTTTTTTTTTTTTTTTAATACATTAAAAAGTTGAATTTGAAGCTTCCAGTTTCCTAAATAAAGCAGTGAAAGATCTTGTGAACCACATCATATGATCGGGAAACAGGACAAGCTGGCTACTCAGGGAAGGAAGGGGGGCCGGATGGGCCCTGGCAGGTGGGCTCTTCTCCACCCTGGGGACAGCCGGCAGGGCCGACGCCTGAGCCTTGGGCCACGTGGCCACTTCCCCTTGGGACACATCAGACATTTCTAATGCTGCACTCGCGGTTCCGGACCAGAAGCCTGAACTAGTAGTAACTCAAAAGTACTGAGAGCATTTATAAAGGCGTAATAAATAGGTCCTTTTTATCAAGCCCTTTCAGATACAGGGGCCAGAGAAGCATCTCATTATTTGTATTCTCAGAACAATTTTGTAAGGTACTTATTATAATCCCATGTAAACAGTGAGGCTGAGAGAGGCTCAGGAGCTTGCCCCAGGCAAGTCTGAGTGTAAGTGGCCCATGCTGATCCCTTTGTACCTTGAGGAACAGTGTCCCAAAGGGCTGGTGACAGCCTGAAACAGTCAATGGAACTCCTAGTGTTACCGGAGGCAGTCCTATTGGTGCCAAGCAAACCCTCCTGGATAAATCTTTACTGACCACACACTATATGCAAGATGCATTGCCATTCACGAAAAATCCAGTAACAATTAAAAACCACAACCAAGGATAGGCAATTTGCAAAATCATGAATTTGCTCAAAACACCCTCGTTTAGTTCCCATATTAATCCTTTAGGTATTTAAGTAAGTGTGTTTGAATTTTACCCCCTTTCAACTAATATTTGTTAATGCTGGTCTCTGTAATAATATTTAAGGTCTCCTTTGAGCTAACAAACGGTTCTCCTTCACAATAGAAATCAAAACAGAGCCTTGTCACCACTCTAAATATTCTTTTCTGCTGCAGACGTCTTCGGAGCCTCTCTTTAGTCATCCTTCGCACATACACATATATACATTATACACACACATGTATGGTGTGAATTCACATTAACATAACACAGTGTCACAAAATAGAAAGCAGTTTCTGCTCCTCAGAGAGAATGTGTGTAGGAACCAAATTTCAGTATATTTCATGCTAAAATGTCATAAATTGGGGCAACCTGAAGAATTCTCTCTTTTTTGTTTTTTAGATATTGCTTTCCATTTGGTCGACCTGAAGGTGCTTTGAAAGCTACTCTCTCACTCCTGGAAAGGGTAAGAAGGAAACTAAAAGACAGATTCCATATATACAGACACATGAACAAAACTGTAAGGAAATATTGTGGTTGAATGACCTTGTTTGGAATTTTTTAAGGTTTTGTTTACCATTCATCAAATATCAGAATAAGTGTGAGGAAACTGTCCCAAATCTAGGTGTTTTATCTCCGGACTCCAAATAGCTGGAAGATATACTCCTAGCCCTTCCCTGGTTCACAATGGGCTTCTCCATCCTGCCTACATTTAACTCTTTAAGAAGTATAAATGAGGAATGCATTTAGCTGAACCATCTTAAAAACCTTTTTATTTTCCCCCACCTTAAGGTTTTGATGAAGGACATCGTTACGCCAGTGCCACAAGAGGAGGTAAAAACAGTCATCCGTAAATGCCTAGAGCAGGCTGCTTTAGTCAACTACTCTCGGCTGTCAGAGTATGCCAAAATCGAAGGTAAGGCTCCCTACTGCCCCCAGTTTTAATTTAGAATTTTGTACACCTGCCTGGGGAAGTCTCTCTCTTTTCTGATGGGCACCAGGAAACAGTGGTCCATCTGAGTATGTTAAGCTGAAACCTGAAAGCACTCAAATTGTGAAAATGTGAAATCTTCCTTGGATGTGGCCAAATGAATGAATTAAAGAACAGAGGCTTGGGAATCAGGCTTTATAGGGGAAGAATTTTAAACATGGGATGTTAACAGATAACTAAGGTCCTTCTAGAGTTTGTGTCAACCCTAAGTTTGCTCTGTAGCTGATGTCTTCCTATGAAAGAGTTCTGTAGGATTGCTACCTTCTTTAAATAGAGGAAGACAAGGAAGCTTGTTTTCCAGTTGATAGCATTGTAAGTAAAACAAGAATTGAAGAAAGCAGCATCAAGGTTTTGCTGAACTCTTTCTTGCCCCTTAAACTTACAAAGGGCTGTCTCTGGTAGCATTTCACACTTGATGGCAAGTTAATGTCCAGCCCTCTCTGATGGCTCCTGGTTTGCTTTCAGTCTCACTTGTTATTGTTATGTTAGACCTAGGATGGTAGTTACCACTGCCTTCCCAAGTTTTAGGAAAGCAGTCACTGATGACCAAGTAATCACCCAAAAGTCACTTTGAGTAAGCTCTACTTGAAAAGATATGGTTCTTTGGGACCTATTCATCTGCAAAAGTATTAATCACTTTTCATTGTTACCCTGTTGGCTGCTGTAGGGTGATTTGAAAACCACACCCAACTTGACCAGTAGTGTAAGTGTATAAATGTGGGAGTTCTGTGTGCAAAACTCAATGTGTTCGCATTCTGGAATCTGATGTTCTCTCCCTTGTGAAACGCCAGCAAATGCCCATTGCCTGCCTTCAGGACAAGACTGGGGGGAACAAAAAAGACCTAACCAACCACCAAAACCCATCACTTACCCTGCCAAAGTCCTTATTTCTCTAGAGAATTAGGTTAAGATCGTGTCAAATTCACAGTGTTCTGTACATTACATGTCTCCCTCTCTCAATTTTGTCTGTCTGACAATGCAAATTGTGTACCAGTGGTAATGAATTCATTGTTATGCATCCAGGGAGAAACACTTAAGAATTGGGCACTAAAAGGATGTTTATCAACGCTTGACTTGGTAATGAGTGACAAAAATAGAGGAGCAAGAAGATTGTTAAAAGGGCCATATTAGCAAATAATTGTTCCAGCATTTACCTTCCCAGGACATAATGATTGGTTATATTTGGTAATGTCAACCAGGCACCTAATAATTCTAGGCAAGGCCAGAGATGGGATGGAATCAAGAAACGTTCAGTTACCATGGCTGCTGCCTCGTAGGTCTTGGTCTAGCTATTACTAGTCTTGGTAAGATCTGCTCTCTTCTTTCAGATAAATATATCTAAAAACAAACTTTAAGATCTGTAAGTAAAAATGCATTCATTTCCAAAGTAGATCAGCTGGTCTGTAATTTCCTTTTGTGCCTCAATTCTTCTTGGTTGTGTTAATTATCTTTTGCACTGTGACTTTTAGGTCTGGGGATTCTTTGAAGAAACCAATCTTTTTTTCCCAACTCTCTTTTCAGAGAAGTACCTCATTCCACACTACCTGCTCTCTTTGCTTCTCTCCTTCCTTGTTCGCGATTGGCTCAGCCACTTTTTGACATTACCTCTGCAAAAGTGGCTGTGACACCAATTTCAAAGCATGCTGGGATTGTTAATTCAGACAACCCAACATCCTCTGGCTGCATGTATCAGGTTTTCTTTCATGAACATAGTCCACCGTAGGCTGAGACATTGCAGCTTTAAAGATATTACTACCAGACAACTTTCTTTTACAAGGTTCTGATCCTGCACTCAGAAAAGAAACCTTCCATTTTTACATTTGAGCCCCTCTGTGAGCATTGACAGCTTAGTTCCCAGAGAATTTTGGAAAGAAGTTGTAGTAATATTGCTGGAGACTATGTTTATGAAGAAATACCTCAAGAGCCTTAGATACTAAAGTCTGAAATCCTTAGTATCTTGGAGCCTTAAACCAATGAAATTCTGTTTCCCTTTACTCATGATGTTTTTGGTCATTGTATTCTTGCAAACAATTCTAAAGAGACGTGTGAAGTCATGGTCACAATCTCTCTCGTGACTCACGGCATGCTGAATGGTTAATCCAATAGAGCTCCAATTTTGAAACTCCTTTTTCTTTTATCCTGTGTTTATCCCAAAATACTCTGTGGCTATTTTCCTTTGAGCTAATGTAACGTTTTCCTCTAACCTATGACCTTTAACCTCTTTACCTCTGACCTAAGCCTCTTGCATGCCCAAATCCTCTTTTATAGGGAAAAAGAGAGAAATGTATGAGCATCCTGTCTTCTGCTTGGCCTCCCAAGTGATGGATTTAACCATTCGTGAGTACCTACCACCTCCTCGCCATGCTGTCTTCACTCTTTCCGTTTCCATTGTTTCAAGAAAACCAGATCCAAACCAACTCACTCTCCTTGCTTCAAGTTGTTTAGCATTGGCTTGTCTGTTGATTCTGTCTGTGAAACACAGTGTGAGAAGTCCAGTCACTTTTTATCAGCCTAAAACAGGTTAGACAATTAAGCCATTTGTTTGTGATAAACTCAGATTTGTCTGTAAGTTTTTCAGTTATTCTCTGTCTGTGACCTGAATGCATTTTTACTTTGCTTGTGTGTAACCCCAATTTGTAAAGTGCTTGTCACTGGTACACAATCAAAAGGTAGCATCTAGGCAGGGAGCAATGTGTTAGGTGTCAGATAAAGGACAGCTGGGGCAAAATCACGCCTTCTTTCCCATGTTTAACATGTCAAACTATTGGGGGTATGAGATCACACAAGGCGGTCCATTCTCTGTAAAAATTAGATCTTATGTGCCTCCTGTCTGTTCTCTCTCAAGCTGGGAAGCTTTTCCTTGTTCTCTCTGGAGATTTTGACTTGTCTTTGTCCTCTAAGCTTTGGCTAGAACATATGACTTAATTGTCACTTGGAGAGTTCATGTATGTTTCATAGCTTGATTTCACATTAAACTTAATTTTACTAATTTTCTATTTGTGCAGCATTTTCCACCTCTGTGAAGGAGCCTTTTTTTGCTGGCCCCCACACTTCGGGGCGGTGGGAACCCAAGGGCAACCTTTTCTTCCAATGTCATGTATCACACATAGTGGGGGGCATTTTGGTCCACTGCTCATTAATCCTGCATATGTGTTCTTGTTTCTCTCTCTTCTCTCCTTGTTGTGCTCTCTCTTTCAAATAGAGAATCAAAAGGACGCAGGTGAACCAATTGTATATGCATTCTAAACTACCAGGATTGTTGAGTTATATTTAGTTTTTGTTTTTGTTTTTGTTTTTCAATAGCTCCTTAATGTATGTACTCCCAAAGACTGGTGTGGAGTTGCGATGATACTTAAGGAGTTAATTTGTGCTGTCTGAATATCCCTCATGCCCATTAGATGTTAACCTTAATAGAGTAGACTTTCCATAAAGGCATAGCTTCGGAGGAACAGAATTCTGGTTCGTATGGAACTGCATTTCATCCTTGGTTTCCAGATTCCAGGGATTTGGCCTCATGTGCTTTTAAAAAATAGCTACTGAACCAAACTAATCTTCCTTTTCGTTTTTCATTTCTTTTTTCTGTTTTCTACCCTACTGAGAAGTTTGTGTTCTTTGATGAATGTCTATCAGCCAAGACAGAGAGAAGTTGTGTTTGTGCCGTTCTTGTGTGTATCGTGTGGTGAGGCAGGACGCAGACACAGGTGGCTGCACAGCGCCCCTTGCTGGAAGCTTCAGGAGGGGCGAGCTCTTAGAAAAGTCTTGACTTTGGATGTGTTCTTCTTGTTTAGTCCAAAAATGTCTAAGCATATTGTGAGGAAAACGCTAATAAATAAAATTATAGTATGAACTATTGTTTTTAGGGTCTAAAGGATTCTCAAAAGATTATCATCATCTCATTGAAGTTAAACATATTTCATTTAGTCAGAGTTGAACATATTTGAGATCAATTCAGAAAGCATTTTTGAGCACATGCCAAGCACCAAGCTTGCAATAAATATTTGAAGACTCATGAACCTATGTTCAAGACACAGGTGCCTTTCTCTCCCTGGAAGGGAAGGTATTCATTTATTCATTCACTTACTCATTCATTCATTATTCATTCATTCATTTGACAAGTGTTTAGAGGGAGCCTACCATGTGTCAGGTACAGTGGTGAAAGCCAGGGACTATGTAAACAGGAAACAGCTGTTGACCTTATGAAGTCTGTGTGCAAATGTATTATACATGTGTGTAAAACCATGTATAATAAAAATAGCTAATTCTTATTTAATGTGTATTATGTACCAGGTATGACTATTTTAATCTTTAAAAACCCTCAGGAGGTGGACACTACTATTACTCCCATTTTAGAGAAGAGCAAACTGAGATACAGAGAGGTTAAATAACACACTCCTGGTAGAATAGGGTAGAGCCAGAATCTGAGCCCAAGCAGAAGCCACAGTCTTAACTACTCTGTAACTCAATGTGGTTGCAAATAGAATGAAAAGATGGCAGTAATGGGTGCTGATGATGGCAATGTAGACAGGAGGCAAGATCTCAAAAGCCTTTATATGCCTTATTAATACAGAGTTCAGATTGTATCTCATGGTCCAAAGTTTCTTATCCTGGAATCTATGCCAGCTTCTGCAGACATATGGATTTTTCAAAGGAAAAATATCCCACAGGTCTCACTTCTAGAGGTAATAGAGAGCTGTTAAAGGCCCTTTAAGCAAGAGGGTGGCTTGGTGATTTGCACTGCAGGACAATCCCACTGGCATTGATGGAGAGAAAGGACTGAGAAGGGGGGATAGAGTAAAACTGGACCTAAAAGATAAAGTTAAAACAAAGATGGGTCTGAAACTTGGTGTGTCTGCGGACTCTTCGAGGCTAAACAAATCTCAATCACAATCATAATCACAATCACCTCTTTCCTGACCTTCCAATCT